CAGAACTGCAGAGCTGGTATGTCCGAGCTCACCTTCCATATATAAATGGGTTTATGACACTGTGTAATGACGAGGAATGCTAAAGGAAACATTGCATCTTGATAGTCCCGATAAGTGTCAAACAAAATTGCCATCTACCTCAACCAAAATTAGCTGAGTTTGTCTGAAATTGTTCTACTTATTTAAGTTTAACTTACCATGAAAGGAGATTGTTCGGTAACCATGTGACCACATAAACAATTATGAGCAAAAGTGTAATCCGTAGTGAGCGTACCTTCGCTCTGCGCAATTTGTCTTGGCCACGAATAGCCCTACTAGTCAGAAAAAACTAAAAAACGAAGATCATGCTGTGGATGATTACATTGGGGGACTGCTTTATACCAGCGCTCTCTTTTTCTTTCCTGGCCCATCGTTTACTGGTTGAAAGCTTACTGAGCTCCGAGATGTATAAAACTGAGGATCTTTCTGGTTCAGTAGCGTTTAGGGTTCTGTAGATGTCCTGAAACATAAGCTATCTACCAAATAAAACAAGTGTTTATAAAAATTACAACCACAACCTTAAAAATAGCACATAACAGACGACAATATTATTAGTGGAATGTAAAACGTGATGAAGGCATTTTGTATCCCGTAAAGTTCACTCGAAAATTCGTTTCTGTCATTGAGGTCTGATATGCATCATCAACTAGATTTATCTTTTCCGTCCACATGGTAACACATTGACGGAAGTTTCCGAAGTCCACCTAAAAAATTGGGATCTTTTTTCTTACAACAAAATTATTTATATGTATACCTTGCGCCAGAATTCATGATCTTGCCTTCCTACCGTACACCTATCGTAACCAAACGGGAAGACGTTCTGCGGAGAAAGTGTGAATCTGTAATCAGCATGTAAAGGGCCGGGCATACTTCACGCGATTTCAGTCGCGACGCGATTTGGCAATTCGCCAGAAGTCTTCGGATCCAACATTAGCAAACTGCACATGCATACTGTGTATAACTTACGTAAACTGATGAAATGCCCTATCTTCTGTACATTTAATGTGCTTACAATGAGTTATGGACTCCTGGAATATTGCCAAATCGCGTCGCGATTAAAATCGCTTGAAGTATGCCCGGCCCTTAAGATAACCCTTATACACGAAGTTTGAGCAAGCTCTACCACAAAAATTTTGGGGACCGGATAGCCGAATAGCGCCAAACTAATATCGAACTCGTAATCAGCATGCTCGATTACCCCCCTGTGCCTACTTCCAGCCCCGTAGCTCAAACTTTGCAAAAAAATCGATAAAATCGATAAAAGTAATCGATAATTCTGAAAACTAATATTGTATTCGGAATCCCCATGCTAGATTACCCCCCTGTGCCAACTCCCAGCCCCGTAGGTGAACTCAGCGAAAAAATCGATAAAAATCGATAAAATTGATATCGATCGATGACGAAAAGTAGCCTATGACACCCGTTGGGGCCAGAAGTGTATGTGTGCCAAGTTTGGTCCGGATCGGTTCAGAAATCGAATATTCTATTCGAAACATACGTACAGACAGACAGACAGACATACAGACAGACAAACAGACATTCAGCTTTATATATAAGATAGTATACGGAATCCCCGTGAGCTAAATTGTGAGCTACTCACTCTTGAGTATCTAATCACTCAAGAGTGAGTGGTACCCGTGCGCCAGGAGTGTAGCCAATCGGCGGCATCTCCTTTCAAGCACCAGCTCCTGTACATTGTACCCTGTACTCGATTCAGCTCCGCCTTCCTTCGTATATAAGGAGCCTCCGAATGTATTAAAGGTTGCTCCCCGGTCCACACCGGGACACCTCGACTTCTTCACGACTAATCTACGCCCGGGCGAATAAATCTAGATTCCACAACCTCGTCTACCCCTAATCACTTGGTACCCACCAAATAGGCAACCTTTCCTTAGATTTCAAACTTGTTTCGAAATGCCAGCAAATAACAGTTGAAATTGCGATGACAAGACGCATTTTTTTTCTTCGTTCAATCGAGTAGCTCTAACGTATCGACTAGGTCGGTCTCCAGCACAATTCTTTGAGTGGAGAGCAGCACGCAAGAGTGTCCTTCGGTCGAATTGATCTTTTGGAGAGTTTTGACTGTTTAGGTTCAGAAATATGGGGGTATTTGGTATCTGTGAGATGTACAGTACTACTCCAGCCTCAAAGTCTCTCATAATTTCAATTTTAGATTTCGAAAGAACTTTTGTAACAGGCGGATAGAGTATAGGGCGTGCAGTGTAATGTACACTTTGGCATCGCTGTTGAATTTGTAGAATTTCCTGAATATTATTTGATGTTAACCAGTTCCAAATTTGAGCAATTTCCTGTAAACATCAAGCGGAAAGCAACTCGTGTCGTCCGCTTTCCTGCTTCTTTCCAAGAAATTTTTTAAATTTTGTGAGAACTTCTTGAAGGAAATTGTCGAATTATTAGCTTCGAGCACCAATGTGGCTTTACTCAACAATTCCATCTCGCTTAGTCGCTTTGCCGAACAGTAATCAATTTTTTGGAAAAAGTGATATTCGGAGATTTTGTAGTACCTGTGCGGTCATTTACTATTTATTCCCCTCGAAAAAAAACTACATTGCTTTGGATACATGGTACAAGTTTAAATACGCTCACTTGCCAATCAAAAACATACATATTAGGTCGTTTCGAAAGTAATGTCGCTTTTTTCAAACGTATGCCACATCTCGTGGAACAAAGATGTGTAAGAGATTCTGGTAGCATTTGGTGCAGCATTTCATTTTCTTTCTAATCGTTATAAAATTGTTGCAATACAGTCAATGAGCTTCCAAAAAAGAGTCAAAATCTGCGACCTGTGCTTTTTGAGATGGCCAAGTTTCACAATTTTTCTAAAATTTTATAACAAACCTCAGAAGGAGTGCAAGTAATGGATGGATGGAGCAAACCCTACAGGAAACAACACAACTTTTTTCTACTTTTCAGAGCTCGACATTATTTTTGTACAGAGATTTTTTGATGGAACCACCGAATTTTAGCAGGCTTGTCTCAGACACAAGTGCATCAAACGCCAACAAGTCTCCGGATTTTAAAACTTACAAAGATGGATTATGGTAGAGCAACAATTTTACAAACCAAACGAGCATTCACAGCTTCGGTTTAGCAACTTTCGAAAATTTCGGGTACACCTTGGGGTGCCTTGGAAAAGTTGAATTATGATGATTTTATTCCGAAAAACTTGATGAATCGGAATCAGAAAACGACCGCTGGAAAGAGGAGAAAAAGCTGCATCGAATGACACCTGAGCCGCTTGCCGATTGTTGTTCTGTGACGTTTGACTTGACTAAATATGGAATTTGATGGCATTAAGAAATTGATTGTAGAAACTCTGAGAAGCAAGCTAAGGAAAAGAAAAAATACTCTGCGTTCTATAGTGTTTTGCTCTATCTACCTGCCACTTGTTCTTTTTCGGAGATTAGGTACAAAAATTTAGAAAAATAGCCGAACTTGACCATGGCCAAAAAGCAGGTAATTGTGGTAATTTTTCGAGAGCTCATTAAACATTATGCAGTGAAATTAGAAGCATTAGAAAGAGGATGAAATGCTGCATCGAATGCTCCTAAGATCTCTTGTAAATGTTGATTCCACGAATAGTGGGGTTCATTCGAAAAAAGCGACATTACTTTCGGAACGACCTAATATATATGTATCTGTATAATATGCACATCATATCTGTCGCCACACCCTCGAAAACTTTTTTTCTAGTTTTGAAAATTCTAATTATCAAAGAATAAGCAAATCAGTTGCACATTTTCACATCGTTTGTCAGTCTGCCAACTTAGTTTTGTACCTGTAGAAAAATTTTACCTATATTTTACGCGTTTTACTTTTCGGCTTACCTTATAATTTTCAAATATTAGGGTGATCACTAAAAAATGGGGCACCTAGAGAATAAATGTAGATTTCTCAAAAAAGAAAAATGACTAAACTTCCCAATTTTGATAGGAGTTAGAATAGATTTTTCTCTTTCAGAAAATACTTATATAAGGTCATTTACATAACTAATAATTTTTATAGTGGCTGAAATGCAAAGTCAGTCACTTTGACAAATTATAAACTTCGAGCAGTATCTGCGCAGTGAAACATGCGAAACCATCCAAAGTACTAGCTGCAATGCTTGAAGGTACAGTCACCAGACCCACGATGGGTTGCTGGTGTAAACTTTCAAATTCAGGAGATATGGCCATTAGCAGCTTTGAGAACAAAGATAAGTGCTATTCAATGCTCTGCAGGTGAACGCAAGTTCTATAGGTACCATATGAAAGAGCTTTTTACGCTCTATCCATTCATATGCAGTTTACCTCACATTTTATCTATCTTCGGAAAATACAGATTGAAACTTGATTTACTGGTTTTTGTTGCGCCAAAAACTCGCGATTTTCCAGGTATTTCGCTTTTTTTACCCAGAAATAGAAAGAAATTCGGTATGTTTCATACACTGTTTGAAAGAGCATGAACAGCTCTTTCCAATGATATATCAATTGCTCTATAACTTTGCGGTATGGCAGCGCAAGAATGAGCGAGGTTCAAAAAACCCTGTTCGAGTTCTTCAGGGTGCCACGCGTAGGGGTGGGAGAGGAGCGTGACGTTTTGCCAGAATAATAGGCGAAGGTCGCTTATATAAGCGACGTTTACGTTGCAGCCTGCTTATTGTTGATCGAAACAAAAAAACTCAAAATTTGACAAAAATCAAGCTGCCCCATTTTTTAGTGATCACCCTAATACTAAAGTACGTTTCGGTATCATTGGAGTCCACACTTCGGTTGACAGCCGCTGTTGTATCTCATCGAACTCGACCTTTGAAAATAGTCCAGAAACTAAAGTTTGATGTTTTGTGTTATTGATGTTCAATAAAAACCATCAAACTTTAATGTTTAGAGTTTGATGGTTTTTCATAAAATTCAAAATGTCCTCTTGCGTTAGGGTACAGCCGCATCTCATGCATTATAGTTTGAATGTTCATTAAAACCTGAGATCAACAAGCATATGTACATGAAACATGACCGCGGTTAACAACGTAGTATGTAGCAGAGCTTCTTTGGTTTCTTCCCTACTTCTCCGCAAGTGAATATCATTTTCAATCCTTGCCACCTGCAACGACGGCCTTATAACAGAACTGCAGAGCTGGTATGTCTAAGCTCACCTTCCATAAATGAATGGGTTTATGACACTGTTCATAACGACGAGGAATGCTAGAGGAAACATTGCATCTTGATAGTCGCGATAAGTGTCAAACGAAATTACCATCCACCTTAACAAGAATAGTTGAGATTGTTTAAAATTATTCTGCCTATTTAAGTATAACTTACCATGAAAGGAGATTGTTCGGTAACCATGTGACCACATAAACAATTATGAGCAAAAGTGTAATTCGTAGTGAGCGTACCTTCGCTCTGCGCAATTTGTCTTGGCCACGAATAGCCCTACTAGTCAAAGACACTAAAAAAACGAAGATCATGCTGTGGATGATTACATTGGGGGACTGCTTTATACCAGCGCTCTCTTTTTCTTTCCTGGCCCATCGTTTACTGGTTGAAAGCTTACTGAGCTCCGAGATGTATAAAGCTGAGGATCTTTCTGGTTCAGTAGCGTTTAGGGTTCTATAGATGTCCTGAAACAAGCAATCTACCAAATAAACAAAATGTTCAAAAATATCACCACCAACTGACCTTTAGAATCAGCACATAACAGGCGACAAGTATTACTAGTGGAATGTAAAAAGTGATAAAGACATTTTGTATCCCGTAAAGTTTCATCAGTTGAATATCCGCTCCTGTCATTGAGGTCTGATTTGCTTCATCGACTAGATTTATCTTTTCCGTCCACATGGTAACACATTGACGGAACTCTCCGAAGTTCACCTTAAAAAACTTGGAATCTGACATTTTTCTTACAACAAAATTACTTTATGTATACCTCTCGCCAAACATAGAGCTGTGGTAGCATTGAGAAAACTGCTGTGCCCCATGCTATTATGAGCATACGGGAGATGCGACCGTTGCCTATAGAAGAAATCCAGAATGGATAACGGAGGGCATAAACAATGCAGACCATGATATTTGAGCTGAAACGCAAACTTGAGTTGTGGCATCTGTCTAAAGTTCTAGAAAAAGTCTTCCCGAGTTTGACCGTATTTACACGAAGATAATGATTTGTCCGGATGAGGCAACCAAGGGGTAGAGAGCAATAGGCGCCGCATGCATTAACATCTTCGCCGGGGAGGGGATCGCAGCTCAAAAGAAAGTTTTATATCCTAAAGCTTCAAATATCTGAATTTTTTTCGTATAATCCTCAGGTATTTCACCATTCTTCACTTTGAACATATTGAACAGGGGCAAAGCCGACCGTCCTTTTCTTTCGAGACAACCTTCCAAAGTACGCTGTTTGTTTACCCCAACAATGCTGAGCATGTTGCTAATAAGAACAAATGAGTTTTTAAAATAAATCATAATTTAAATAACCACTTAATAATACATAATTACCAGTATCTTCAATTATTTTTGAATTTTTAACAATATAATTACTTATTAAATTTAATACAAGTTCTCTTTCGAAATAAATAGGATTATATTTATAATAAACTAATTCATCAAAATTGTCAGGATCTTTACAAGTTTCATTTAATTTTTTCTTACCATATAAACTTTCTAATTTTTTAGCTTCTTCATCATTTTCATAAAAATGATTATATATTAATTTTGGTACATTAACATATAATACTCTATTTCTAGCACAAAATAAATCCAAGCTTTTTTCCAAACCAATATCATACTCATGCTTTAATATTATTACATTAACATTATATTGGCTATCAAACATTTTTATAGATTTTTCCGGAGGTTCTTCACATTTTACTTTAATTACATTAGCAGCAGCTTGTCTAATTACTTCTAATAATTTTTTAGGTACATCTAAAGTTTCTTCAAAATTGTTTTTTTGTTCATCAGTTATTTCTTCTGTAATTCCTTCTTTAATTTTGAATTTATTCATTAATACTTTTTCGTGAACATCAATTTCATATAAATTTCTAAAGTTACCAAAGATTTTAATAATTTCATTAGCTTTATCAAAACTATCTATTAAAAATCCATCAGCACCTCCTGGAATATATATATTATCAATAACTACTTTTTTATTAAGAGGAATTTTATTAATGTAATCTTTTAAAAAATTAACTAAATCATTAAAATTAATTTCTGGTTCAGCATCAGGATTTTCTGGATCAGCCTTTGATTTTTTAACTTTTTCAGTTAATTCTTTAAAATCTAATAATTCATAATTATATTTATTTTTTAAATGTCTTGCTATAGTTGTTTTTCCAGAATTAGGTAAACCATATACTATATTAATATCTTTAGTCATATCAAGACATTCTTCTATTTTATAATCTACTAAATTTTTTGGATTTAATGTAGTTAATATATTATTTTTATAACAATAAACAGCCATAGAATCTACATTATTAATAGAACTTAATGTTTGATTTTCTGATAAAACTATATATTTTCTTATATAACATAAATTTTCTTCAAAAGCTTTTAATTCAACCATATTTTTAGGGAAAGTATTTAAAATAATTTTTTTATATTTTTCACTAAATAAAATAGGTCTAATTAATTTTATTTTTAATTCTAATGAATATTCATTTCCATCAGATTTTTCTATTATTTTTCTTTTAATAGCTTTATCAATTATTTTCCCTAAATCTATTTCTGTATATCCATATTTATCATGTAATTTATTAAATAATTCTTCTTTAGAATTATTATCACGAGTTTCAATATAAGCACAATATGGTTGTAATTGTTGTATCATTCTTTTTTCTGTTAATATTTTATGATTATTAACATTAATTGTTTCAAATTTTGCTTTTTGTTTTAAATAATCAAAGAAAGATTTTTTTTGTTCAAATTCATATAATAATTTATTTAATTCAGATGATTTAATATAATTAGGATTATTAAGTTCAATTACATTAAGTCTTTCTAAACATGTACTATTATCTGCCTGTAAATAAATAATTTTTTCAAATTCTTTACAATTATTAACAAAATAAATATATTGTTCTTTATTTTGAGGAAAATCTTCGATTAATACACGAATATCTCTCATTTTTCGTAAATCATTTATAAAACTAGTAACAACATATTCATTATCTTTTACTCTTTTAGCAATATCTTCCCTTTTTAAAAATTTATTAAAATCAATCAGTTTTATTCCCATTCTTTCATTTAAAACTTTACTTAATTCAGTTTTACCAGAATATCTTTTACCTAAAATACTATATATATTAGGATATAAGCATTGTTTAGCAAGTTTATTAATTTCTCCTGAAGTTTTATTACTGATATCAATTTCTCTTACTATTGAATAAGGTCCATAAAAATCTTCAATTTCTTTTAAATTTTTTCCTTCTGATTCAATTAATTTTACTAATTCTTCTACTGTTAAAGAATTATTTTTTTCAGGATTATCTTGTAAATTTTTAATTAATGTTTCTTCATTTCCATTAAATTTTAAAATTAATTCAATTGGAAATATGTTTTGTTCAAAATAAAGAGCATCAGATAAATTCATAGGGAACCCTTCGATTAAAATTGTTGAACCTGGGGAAGAGGTAAGAATCCCACGAACTAATGTTGTGACTATTAATTGGGAATTGATGGGTTGTGAATTAGATTTGGATTCTTTTAGTTGTTTTCCTAGTTCTGAATCTGAGGTTATTTCCATTTCTATAAGAGATTTTAAGGAAAGCTTTGAATATTTATATTCATTTGCTATTTTTTCTACTTGAGTTTCATGATCACAACATGGAAGACCTATACAAAAGATTATACGGTAATCATTTTTTTTGACGTTTGATAATTCTTCTTCGGTAAGTGTAGGTGATGAAGACATATTTTTTTAATTAATTTTTTTTATTTTTATTTCATATTTTAATAAGGAAGTTATATTATTTTAATATTAATTAAAATTTATTCAAATATATATAAATTAAATATACACCACAATTACTTGGGGATTGGGGATTGGGGATTGGGGATTGGGGATTGGGGATTGGGGATTGGGAGTACTCTGCGTTGATACCACTGCTT